GAAAATTGCATTTTCAAGTGACAGAATCTGCTGGGCAGTGTCCACGATTCTGTCTCATAGCACCATCTGGTGGATTAATCCAGAAGAAAATGCAACATGTGGAACCAAAGCAAACTCTACAAACCCAAGTTATGTTAAATTACTTCCTCTACCTACAGAACCAGCGATGTACTACAGACAGCACTAAAAGCAGAGCTGTTTATAGGCCGGTTCTGCCTGCCGTCGTTTCTGCAGACGGATAGACCAGAAAGCCGGAGAAGGTGGTGTACCTCCCTTGGTTGCTGTAAACGGCGTAGCGCTTGTCCTGCTGGCTGTACAGCCACACCGTTTCCCCCCTGTTGAGCTGCAGCATTAAGCTCTGACTCTGCATCTCTCTCCTCTTGGACGTGTCCTCGTCGAACACCATGGCCTGCACCTGCCCGCTCCCAGTCATCAGCTTCACAGAGACGGCCTTGCGAGGGTGCTTCCCCACTGTGAAAGCAAAGAAGTACACCCCGGGGAAGTGGCAGGTGAACAGGCCTGAGGTTTTGTTGAAGTGGCCCCCAATGTCGACGTACTCCACGTCAAAGGTCAGGGGAGGCTTGTTGTGGTGCCCGACGCTCTGACCCATGAACGTGGACGTCCGAGCCACCGAGAAGGCTGACTGCGGCTGCTCCGCCGCTTGACCTGCGCTCTGGGGTTCAGCCTGAGGTGGGCAATCGGGATAATACAGAGCTGGCAAGGAGAGGTGGTTGCTCAGGTAACTGGTTGCCTGGGGCTTCGGGTAGACCAGATAGCCAGAGAAGGTGATGTAAGGGCCAGCATTGCTGTACACAGCATACTGGGGATTCTGCTGCAAAAGCAGCCACACAGTGTCCATTTCCTTCAAACTGATCATCACACTCTGGCTTTGCACTTTCCTGCCTATACTGCGGTAGTCATCATAAGCGATGGCTTGCACCTCCTCCCCATTCTTCACCAGGATGACCGAGAGCAGCTTACTGGGGAACTTCCCAACAGAAAAGGAGAAATAATAAGCCCCGGGGATGCGGCAGCGGAAGTGCCCGGTGTCTGGATTAAAGTCCCTTCCGGTGTTGACCATGAGCTTGTTGAAAGTCACTGCTTTCTGCTTGCCTCCCACCACACTGCTGGTCTGCACGGCAGAGAAAGCAGAACCGAGGCCCGTCGCCTCAGAAGGCCCATAAAGGGATGACACTCCTCCAGAGTACAGGATAATGATGAAAAGACATGCCAAGTGTGAATGAGACCTGCAGGAAGCTAAAAACAAAAGAAATAGCAGATGATATTGTAAAATGACACATCTGGGGACACAAGGATGTCTGAGAGGAACATTTGCATTGTACCTGAATAAAGGAATAATCCGATTTTATGTGAACATATTTTCTAGGGAGATCATTGTTTTCTATTTTGTCAGGAAAACTAATCAAGGAAAAAAGTCATGTTTATCTTTGTCTTCAGAGCCGTCCAAAATGTGGTCATCACAAAAATTTTATGTGGTTCAAAATTGGCTCAAATTTGGTCTGTCAGCATAGGTGGAGAAAAATAATACTTTCTCAGAAAGAAAAAAAAACTTTGGCTGCTCTCTTTCTATATTTTCTGTGAAGTACCTGACAATTTACATAGGTACATTTTTTGCCTGTTTGTTAAGCCACTTATTAAACATTAAATGATTAATAGGTCAAAGGCTCATAACCTGAAAATTGGGCGGCTGCTCTACCGCTACGCTGTGTGTCGGTTCCTAATCCTTGTCACAAGGCAAGGGGTTCAACTCTCAACCTCTGGAGATTTACTGTCTGTCTATAAGTATGCAGATGATGCACAGCTCTACATTACAATGACAATGAGTCCATTCAAGTGCTGAGTAGATGAGGGGCGTCCAAAGTCAGTCCTCAAGGGCGGGTAGCCTCAGTCAGTATTCTGCATGTTTTATTGCTCTCCCTGGCTCAACACCCTGGTAGTAACTAACTACCTCCTGAGCATATCAAAGTTCTGCAGAGGCCTGGTAACAAGCCGTCATTGGATTCAGGTGTGGTCAGAAAGCATGACGACTACTTTAGAAGATTACAAGAAGGAACGACTTCAAACTTTTTCAGAGTACTACCATTTTAGCACATTGGAACATCAGGAGAAGCTTCAGTTATTTGTTATCAGCTAAATATTTATCTTCAACCCTTTGCCCTTCAGCTAACATATTTTATTCTTCCTTTGTCCTCCACTTATCCATTTTTCCTTCTTTTTTTTTTTTTTTTTTTTTTTACCATAGTGCACAATGCTGTCATGATCAGGTACTGGACAGAAACATAATGAAAAAGCAGCCAAAAGCCCAAAAGACCTCTAGAAAAATAGAAAAACTATCTAAAAAAATCTTTAGAAAGACTGCAAGAAAGTCAGACTGCTTAAAATTACCAGCAGTTTAGTGACAATTTAAAGTTTTTCACACTGCATAAAATCTTGTTTGTTTATTCTTTACAAAACAGGCACACAGACAAGTTGCGTCTCTCTTTTTGTTGTACTATTAAGATGTTACAAGTTCATATTTTAGTTCAGCATCTGACTCTAAAGTTAAATTTTGTGACGTAAGATGTGTGATTGTGAGTGCAGAAGAAGAAGTCTACAAGAGAACTTTTTATACTACAGCTCAAGTAGCTGCCCAGGACAAGTTTTGTCTTTCACCACCAGTCACTCTGATCTTATCCTGTATTTGAATTAAAAGATGATAAGGAAGTCTGGCCACATTGTTGACACAAATTCAGAGCGCTCTTTGTGATCAGCAGTGCCAGTAATGCAACTGATGTTTCTGTTCTCCTTGTGCACTGGAAAAAAAAGGCGTGGATTAGGCGCTGGTTCATGTGTGCCGAACAATGGAAAATTTCAAAGACTTCACTAAGTTAGGGCAGAAAATGAAAACATGAGTATTACTTTGATGTGTGAGTATGTGGTAGGTGAAAGTCATTTTTTAATCAGTGAGTGGAGAATTTTTTTCTTTTTTACATTTTGAACACTAAGTTGGTTTAAATTTATTTTACTTTTCAAAATATTTGTTTAGCAATACATTTCTTTTTCTGTATTTACTTCTCTGTGTCCTTACATTTACTAAAAATATTAAATTAAAGTTGACAGTAACCCCACCAACAATTGTTAGACAATTTGAAGGTATTTAGGACAAAACTAAAGAGATTAATTACTAAAAGTTAAGATTAGTATTTTAGTAAAGACCTGAACCTGAGACCAGACCAAGACCAGACAAAACCAAAACTAAGATCAATCTTGAGTACTACAATTCTAGCTCATATGTGCATTGTGCTCTGTACTATGCATTTTAAGTGACTAGTAATGCTGTACTGGAAAATGCAAGGCAAATGTGCAAAAAATAAAAAAAAAATTCCTCGCCTAATAACAGCAAACATCTTAGGATACTCTATGGAGACTTGACTTAAATTTACATCTATGAAACAGTATTGTAAAATACAGTGCAAACACAGTCAGATGACAGAAACATGTTTGCATAACAAGACATCAATATAAAGAAACATACTGTACACTTTTTAAAACTTCTTTTTCACAGAATTGCAATCATAAATAGCAAAAAAAAAAAAAAATTGTAAACGTATCACCATCTGAAGATTAAACCAAAATAATAAACCCACCTGCTGAGGTAAATTGGCACAGAAATTGCATGCTGGACTTCGTCTTAGTCGGGTCTGTTGAAGTTACTGTGCGTTTGTTGGTCTGTTAATGTAACTGACACCCAGTGGAACAAAGTTTTTGTTCAGGCAGAAATTGTGGAAGGAGGAGCTTCGATCCTCCCTCTGATCTATCGCCACTATGAAGTCTGTATATGTAAAAAAAAAAAAAAGCAGCTGAACTCTGCATACTTGTTTGCTTCCAGAGTTGTTAAGTCTAAGTCATCATTGTTTGGTCTTCCACATGCAGAGCTAATGCTAGACTCCAACTCTTATGACTTCTAGAAAAAAAAGCCATGGGTAGAATCTGCAAATAGAAAATGAATGAAAGTGCCAATATATCAGTGAAAGAATGTAGCGTTCTGTCATTGGAATGCAAAGAAAAAGTTCTTATGATGTGCTGCAATAATATTTAATAACAATAACCTTTGTGATGTATTTGCGAAAATTTGCCTCAAAAAGCTAAAGCACTTGGACAAAAACACAAAATGAAATACGAGTTAGTAGATTATAGCAGGAAGAATAACAGGAGCATTCAATGCTGCTAGAAAGTATTTGTCCCGCAAATGTCTTCTGTTTTTGCTTTTCATACGATCGAGTTTGTTTTATTTTATTTATTCAGACAAAGATAAACTGAGCAAATACAGAATGCACATTTCAACTGATGCACTGTGTTATTAAGGAAAAAAGGCTATACCACACCTCAGTGGTCCCTTAAACCTTTAACTATTGTGTCACGGTTGGAGGTAGAGCTGCCATCAAGGATTTGAAATATTCGTTTTTCTCTTTGCAGAACTGCTTTTAGTCTACATTTAGTCCACAGTGTTGGGTCTAAAGCACAAACACACAGCCTACTACTGTCCCTATAAAAAGCATTCATCACTTGGATATTGTACCCTTTTGTTGCTTTTACAAATCAGTTATGATACATAAAATTTGGTATTTTGACTAAATATTACAAAAATATACTATAATATAAAAGTGAAAAAATATTTATACAAATTTATCAACAAATAAAGGGAAAATTAATTGAACAGGAGGTCAAGCACTACTTATTTTTAAGTAAAATAAAAGCTTTAATGTTACACATTTAGTATTTTAACAATATTGGCATTTAATGTTTGAATTTTTCTCCCTTACTTATCTTTCTGTTAATTCGTATTTTTCTTATATTTATAGTGAAATGTTTTAGTTCTATGGTAGCTACAGTTGTACTCCAAAAAAGTTAAAACATACAAAAAATAAATAAATAAATACAAATTTTTAAAAAATCAGCACCTCTCCAGGCCACGCCATATTGACGCAACCAGGAGCCCTTTTGCTTATGCCGTCATCACGCAGGAACCCGGAAGTGGTCTGTTTGCTGTCAATGCCAGCTACAGAGAGAAGGAGGCACTGAGAGCTAGAAGCCCGCATTTAAGAAAAATGGCAGGACTGCCCCGCAGGATTATTAAGGTACCTATTTCTAACAGAAGATTGTTTTCTTCTGTGATTAAAAATTAGAATTTATAATTTAAACTAGTTTTTCTTTGTCCGTTGCACATAATGGTGTTCCAGCGTTAGCATCGATTAAGCTAGTGTCGGTTTGAGAAAGTAACTTCCGCTTCTTTAATGTGCCCAGAAACAGCGATTTTCAGAGGCTAAGAATACAAAATTAGTAGTGGCAATTAGCCGCTTGGCTTGGCTCAAATTTTTAATTGCAATTTGTATAACTAGGTGTGGTTTCTAGTTTTCTTATTGCGCTTGCAGGATTGCTGAGCAAGCCGGCTAGCTAACTATGTTAGCTTCTTAGCGATCACTTTTAAATGATCCATGTTCAATAAACTGACTCCAGTTTATAACCGAGATAAATGTATAAACAAGCTATTACTGTAAATAAGAAATTAATTCAGTGGTATCGTGTAAGTCTACTATTTGTCGTGTAGTAATTCAAATGATTTTTCATTCCCTGCTGCTGGAAGTTAATAACGCAATGAGTGCGTTTCTGTCAGATGGAAGCTTAATCATGCAATTAATAATTTCAAAATAATGAATTAGCTGCTACTCAAAACTGACCGAAGTGATGGGCATAATTTCTTTGCAGACATCGCAAAGTACAGAGTTTTATCATTGTCCTGGTCTGGATAATTTTGGAAAAACATTTGTATTTTCAGACTTTATCCTCTACCAGGTTTTCTCAAGTTATTTCTGCTGGAGTTTTTGTTTTTGTTTTGTCTTTTTACATAGATCAGCGTTCATGAGTTTACTTACACCTTGTTAAAGCGCATTTTAACACTTTTCTTTACCTGCACTGATAAGCAGTTGGATGATGGTTCCTTCTGTCTTATTTTCTTAAATTAACTTTCAGTCTACGAATCCGCATGATTTTACATATTTCAGGTCATGTGTACTAATAATAATAATAATGCCAAAATCCACTTTAAATGCAGACTTAACTTTAAAATATTTTCACAATAGTCTATGAAATTTCATTGTGAAAGACTTATCTTTTTTTACAAAGAATGTGTTTTTTGTTCCCAGTAATACAGCACACATGATGTTATTTACAGCCAGATTACAAACTGTGCTGTAGTGAAACTTGCATCTAAAACATTCTCACCATACATACCGCAGAGCATCACCCAGAGGTCACTAACGTTACCAAGGGTGAGATGCTGCTTCCATATAAAATCTACTTAACTGTTCCCTGTCATTAAAGACGTGGATTCAAAAATACATATTTTGCTTGCCAGCTATTTTATTGAAGTGATTACAGGTTTTGATCTTGAGTAATTAAATGTTCATAATCGGATTTTGATCTAGTTTTGACCATCCAACATCGGAGAAAAACTCTTAAACAACTACTGAGTCCAGCCCTTTAGGAGTTTACTGAGGTCAGTCAACTCCTAAATATCTTGACTGACATCAATGGATATCAATGATTATTGAATAATTTTTGTTTTAAATATCTGAAATACTGCTAAACTGGTGACGTGACCATTCCTGTTTTATCCACAATTTCCTCTCAAGCCTGTTGTACTCATTTTCTCCTTTTTCTCTGTGCCATAATTTTTTTTAATATTTAAGCATTTATGAAGCTTGGTGGTGAAACAAACTGCTGCTGCACGAACTACTCAACAGATTGTTGCTAGGTAACCAGAGTGAGTTGATACCAACACCAACCTTACTTAGCAGACCCTTTAGAGGTTGAGTGGCTAAAGTCTTTCCTCTGCCTACATCCCCCAGAATGCTGTGCGGTTCTGGATCGGAGTTCAGGAAAATTATTGAGCATTTATGTTTTTTTTTTAATTATTTATTGTTGGTTTATTGCCCAGCCCTGTCTACCCCCCCCCCCTTTATTTGATTTCTTTTATTTTTTGTTTTTAAACATAAATAATTGACCCTTTTTTTTAAGACTGGTTATTTTATTAATATGTCAGGCAATTGGTCTGGTATATCCAACATGCTAAAAAGCTGTTTTGAATGCAAGAATTCAGTTCAAAGTATCAACATATTGTATTTTGCATCCCATTTTGGATTCAGCCTAACAGCAGTAAATTAACACACAACAAAGATTCAGATCCCAAGATGCCTAAAGGACACAGAGAGCGTTGGAAGCACAGAGCACAAAGGAACATTTTTGATTTATTGTAACACATATAAATGACTTGACAGTATTAATCTATAAACTATAAAACAATGCTAAAATGAGGAAACACACTGGTAACCTTTGACTATGCAGCTCTTTTACAGAGTTATTTATGTTTGACACATTTATAGTATTTGTTTGTTCTCTAATACTACACTTGTTCCCACAGATAAAATGTCATATTTTATTAGTTTAGATTGATTTTAAACTAAAGAAAGCACACAGCTCTTATTCAGTGTGTTTGTTTAAATATCTCTCTGTGTTTCCAGCTATAATATGGCATTAAAAGACGTGAGTTTTATCAAAACTGTCAGTCTCTGTTTTTCTAGTAGTAATTTGTACTCTTTGTAGTTTTTCAAATAAAGTTATTTTAGAAGAAGGAATGTTTCTGTGAATAGCAAAAGATTGAGAGGTGTGTAAAGGAGTCCACCGACTGCCTACAGTTGGTGGGAAAAGATGGGAGGGCTGGGAACAGTACTTACTGGGCCGAGCCCTTGAGCCCCCTGAGCGTGTGACTGGGACAGGGAGCCCCTCTTCTGTCTGTGTTTTCACTGCATGGTTTTGTCTGTGGGTTATCTGAAACATTTCAGGAATCTCACTCACAGTTGCACAGAGGGAAAAAGATGGCAAAAACTGCTGTAGCAAGTGTTGGCTGTGACTTTATTGGTCCATATTTCCGTAGATTATTTTTTACTCTTCCTTTGTAGTTAAACATGTTCCATCCGGCATATAGCAAATATGCCGGATGCTTTTGTACAGTAACAGACTGGAAGCTTTATTAAGGAAGAATAAATGAGCGCTTTGATGTCTCCTGCAAATCATGTTGAAAATAATTCTGATTTTGCTGCAAATATGCCTCTGAAAAGTGGAAGTACACAGCAGGTTAACCAAGAAGGGCATCTATAATAATAAAGAAAGTTGAAAAGAAAGTTGAAAAACGGGACTGCATATTGGTGGTTGATGCTGCCTGATCGTTTTACAGCGTGGCGTGACAGTGGATCTGATCAAAACTTATTTTAAAACATCTGTTCTCAGTTTTTATAGACTTGCTCAGTCTTAACTCGTTGGTGATCTGACCAAAGAAAAGCAATTCTATCAATTCACAAAGAAGCAGAAAGCAAGCAGGAAGTTTCTCAGATTTAGTCCCAACTTGGACTTTTATGTGAGTAATTTTAGGTTTCTCTGTAATACATGCTATGCTGTGCAGGCTTTCTTTATTAGTCCACAAATACGCATTTAAGTTCATTCACTTTAGGGGGGATCTGAATGTAGGGATTGTCCCGTCTTTTACAGTTTTGGTTTGATGATTGCATGTCAGACATCTGAATGAACAGTTTGTTCTTCACTTCTTTAAATATGCACAATCCCACCTCTTTAAAGTTTTTCACTGCTCAATCTGTACCACATCTTAGAAATGTAGAGCTGCATAAAAATCTCAGTTGAAATGGCAGTTTTAATGTGTGCAATATTTCAGTCTCAAAGGATTACTGAGACTTTTAGTAGGCTGTAATATTTCAAGTCCCATGCATCAAAAAACTGCTTTCCAATTATATATATTGACAGATGAATTTACTTATTTTTCACTGTTTTTTTGGGGGGGGAAGGGAGGGTCATAACCGATGTAGGTCTTAGTCACCAAGATCAGCAGCTCAAGTATATCAGTGTGTGTTTTTTTTTTTTTTTTATCTTTTATCTTATCCAGGAAACCCAGCGCTTGCTTGCAGAGCCTGTGCCAGGCATCAAAGCAGAGCCAGACGAAGGCAATGCGCGCTACTTTCACGTTGTCATCGCTGGACCTCAGGACTCGCCGTTTGAGGGAGGCACATTTAAACTTGAACTCTTTTTACCAGAGGAATATCCCATGGCAGCTCCTAAAGTACGGTTCATGACCAAAATATATCATCCTAATGTGGACAAGCTGGGAAGGATATGTCTGGACATTTTGAAAGGTAGGCCAGGTCTTTTTCTCTAATTTGGTACTTGCAGTTGTTTTTTTTTTTTTGTTTGGTTTTTTTATACACTTTTTAAAGTCATGCACCTTGTTGAACCTACATAAATCAATTATTTTTAAATAAAGTATTCACTAAATGATTCCTTTCTTCCCAGCAAAACATTTTAACTAACTCAAGTTTGATCCCACCAGTACAGAGCATCACCAGTTCATCCACTGCTCCATTGCTATGTTAAGTATCTTAAATTCGTTTGTTTCACTGTTCTCTGACATTTCAGATAAATGGTCACCAGCTCTGCAGATTCGAACAGTGCTGCTATCTATCCAGGCTTTGCTAAGCGCACCCAATCCTGACGATCCCTTAGCAAATGATGTTGCAGAGAAGTGGAAGTCCAATGAAGCTGAAGCCATAGAAACAGGTGAGGCTATGAAAAAAATCTAAGCTAGACCCTGAGCAAATATTGATTTCATTCATCTTAAATGTTTCTTTTCTTGCTCAGCTACAAATTGTGATTTCCAAGTCTACATCATGAATTTTGTTCACCGAGTTGTAAAATATGATGGAATAATGTTGTGTTATAGTTACAGACAGAGAGTAAAAGAAACTTATATCAGTTTACCATCTTTATCCAATTTTGACACTAGAATGTGAACAACATTTTTGGAAAAGAGATGTTTCCTCAAGCGTAAAGGTTAGACCGGTCAACAATTCTGCAATCTGGCCACTAAGAGGCGCTCTTCTTTAAGCTGCTTCTACAAACCAGGGTTCAGAGCAGATCACATGTTGTGTTCTTACATAATCAAGACGGATTGGCAGATAGATGTGATAGATAAGCAAAAGGTTTGAATTATATCTCGTTTATTTAATCCTATTCAACGTGTTTGGGGACAGTTTAAGGAATAATGTTGCTGAATTATAATCCATCCTTCACATTTTCCTCTCTACAGCCAAGACATGGACCAGGCTTTATGCTGGAAACAAAAATGAAGTGTAAAGCATCCTCACAGGTGGAAACACAAGTGAAAGTCAAGTGAACACAACTCATGTGCTGCCAAGACCTCCTCCTGGCTTCATTTGCATTTAAAGGACACAGTCTTTTATTTTTTATATATAAATATATATGTGAAAACAACTGCTGATATTCTGTGATTTCAATGCACACTAGTACTGAATGACTCGTCTATGTCCTAACTCACTACTACTATTCAAATGCATGGGCAGAGGTTTTAGATCTACTCACCTGGCTTTCTTTGTCCAACTGGGAGGAGAGGGTGTCTGAACGTCCCGCAAATCTGGGGGAACGTGGCTTTGGTGGACTGAGTGGGGATGAGAGGTTGGCTAGATGTGAAAGTTGATGTACCTTCTTTATGTTTCTTTTAATTTAATTTTATTGTGTCGCAGTTTAATAGAAGCGTCTAACTACAACTACTAGCCCACTGTATACACTCGCGTAGAGGACCTTATTCTGTGTAGATCTCTGCTTTAGGTGCCATCTGGTTTCATTAGCTGCACTGTATTAGGACTAAAAACCAAACTGAGCCTGCCACTGACCTTTCAACCTCTCCGTTTTAACTTGGATGCCCTGTAAGCCTCTGGATGGTAAAACTGTGAGTGATGGCGATTGTGGACCTTTCTTTATTTTTCATACATACAGTGTGTTATTACAGTACTCAGATTTTTTTTTTTATGACATGTTTTCTGCTCTTCCTCGACTAACTACTTTTTACTTTTTCTTCCTTTATGGGTCAACAAGGCTCAGTTGTTTCCCTGCTCCCATTAATATTTATTTCACAAAGGAGTGGTTACGCTCGAGTCATGAGATGCCTTGTGTTGTGATGGGAACAGGTGTTGGGATAGGAGCTTCCTGGGTGGCGCTGAGGCGGCGGCCTGTCCACGGATCAAACTCAAAACACGAGTGACGGCTCTGACTCCAAACTGTTGTGATTGGTCTCTGTTCAGTTCATTGTGTAAAATAATTATAACTCTGAAGAGGAGCGGGTTTGCTGCTCAAAATGCTATGAAACTGTTCACCTGCATACTTTTATGTTCTGTAAATAAACTGTTGATTAATAAAAAAAAAAAGTATGTGATTCTTAAAGGGCGATAATGTGGGATTAGTAAGTTAAATGCTGGAATTTAAACAAATGAGTGAAATTTCCATTTTGAAAACCTGAGGAGTCTTTCTAAGCTTTTATTTTTGAAAGGTATGAAAAATTATTTATCAATTTTAACATGTTTTAGTTAAAAATCAGCACTGGGTTCATTGTTAAACCGGGTGTGTAAACACTGTAATCCACCACTAGAGTGAGTCACTGAACTGTGGATCCACAAGTCTGGAACAAAGAAAGAAATCATGGCTTTAACTAAACATGAAGAGATGCCAGCTCCTCTCTGGAAGAATACAGAATTAAATAAAAATACTCATTCATATATATATATATATATATATATATATATATATATATATATATATATATATATATACATAAAGTGAAAAAAAAAAGAAAAAAGATGTCCTGTGACTACAGATGTATGAAATCTGTAAAAAAAAAAAAACTAAAATGCAGTTTTTCAGAAAATTACAATATCGCAAAAGGACAAAGTATTTTCTATATGGGAATAATATGGCTTACACAAATGGGAATGCTGCTGAAATGATAGTTGTAAGTCACAAAAGTGCATAGCTAAAGCTTTACAGGAAGTTGTGTGGAAGGGGGAAAGTGTCAAAGTATCAAAATAAATCCCATTAAAAACAGTTTGTAGGACATTCAAAAGGCATGGACTGAGCCACCCCATGCAGTACCACCCAGAATACAGTTGATTTCCCTGTGTCATCTGAAAAATTTAGAGGCATTTTCCCTAGGTTAAGAAAAAAGTCTGAACTGTTGCTCAGTGGTCTAAAGTTCCCATTTAAGAGGAAAGTAAATTTTGGGGTACAGAGTCCAAATTGCCTCAGGACCAGTGTAGCAAATATGTTATTGCCTTGAGCGAGGCCAATAACTCGGCTAACGACAATCCTGAACCGGAACTTTCAATAGGACATTTAAAACCTGATCCATGAAGTTAAAAGCAGTGAAATCAATGAGCATTTTGGATAGCATAGTTGTGCAAACTAACCAATCAGATGTTGGGGTTTATTTTATGTGCAATGGTGACAGCTTTAGTGGTGGACTGTGTAAATATTCAATAATTAAATACTGAAAATATTGTTTACAGTTTCACCACATAATACAAATTTAAATACTGATTTTTATTTCCTGTATTCTTTGCACAATTTTTTCGTTTTTGCAATCAAATTGGCTGTATAAATAAATATTTTATAAATTATTTGTTTGCTTCATTGTGACACTTAATTTGCTTCTGTAGTCCCAAGAAGTGAAGTCATAGATTAATAAATAAATAAGCCCAGATTGTATCGTTGTATCTATTTGTGGGGGCAAAAAGTGTCATCACCTTTAATCCTAACATAGGCTACTTGGTAAGGGTTAATCTTGTGGAAGACCAACATGGAGGTCGGGTGGTAGGAGGCAGCTTGTCGCTCTTGTCGGGTCAGCTGGTACAGCAGCAGCAGCAGCTTCTCTCTGACAGATGTGAGCCACTTTGTTGAACCATGCGTGTTGACAGCGGCTGTAAACCCACAGAGCAGATGCAGACTGACTTCAGCCTCAGCGCAGAAATGAATGATCCGACAGTCCTGTTCGGAACTGGGACGATTTGAAGAGGAAGAACTGTTGCATCTTCGGAGTAACAATCGAGGTTTTTTTTTTTTTCTTCCCTCCAACCCCACGCTCTCTGTTATTTGTTAAAAAATATTGCCTGAAGAATAGAGCATATATGATGAAATGCAAGGCCAACCAGACCAGGACATACGACGGAGATGGCTTCAAGCGAAGAGCGGCGTGTTTGTGTTTGAGAAACGAGAAGGAGGACGAGGTAAGCTGCGTGGGTTTTCCACGGCCGAAGTTAGTAGTTCTCAGTGTTTACAGAGGGGGAGGGCACTTTTTGCTCTAATCTGAACTCAAACCAAACACTGGCTTTCTTTATCAACGCGCAGCCCAGTCAGCTCGGTCTGCGTGCAGAGCAGAGGTGAGCTTTAATTGGTTGAGGGGTCAAATATTTGACCTATTAAACTACATGGAGTCCGAACAACCTCAGCGGTGAAACATTATTGAGGAAATCCATGCAGCTTGTGTTTCGAAAAGACAACACATCTCCAGTCTGTTGTCGGTGTCACTCAGGCATTTATTCAATGACATTTTTATTTAACTGCTGGCAGATGCATTTCACAACCAGGCTCCTCCTAATACACTGCCTAACTAGTCGCTGCCAGTTTAAAGACCTTGCATCTGAATTTAGTTTTAAAGGTGGTTTGTGCTGTTTTGAGTTTATCTTTATTCACAGGGACTCAAGATAGATGTTGCTCTTACTCTGTAAACTGTAAAAATGACTTTTTCCTCACTGCCTCAAACTAAAGTTTTCCTTCTTTACGTAGTTTAGAATTGCCAAAAATATTTATGAATGGTAATTACTAGCTAGAATATTCAGGGGGTTATTTTATTTTATTTTTCTCACTTTACAAATTCAAAAGTTAAAAACTGTGTGTATTCGGCAGAATTTGGTAGAACTGCCTCTTTATGTTTACGGTGATACATTAAGTGTCCTTCCGCAAGCTTTGCAATAGTTTACTTGAATTTTCTGTTGACTCCACGAGAACAGCAATGAATATCAATATCTTTAAAATAAAGCTAATTGTTTTGTTTGATATTTTGTCTTATGTTTTCAACAGCAGTTCTTGTGTTTATTAGGTTTTGACTGCAGTGATTTGCAGGGAAAGCCATCAATTATGTTCATCACTTTTATCGTTACCCCGAAAATGTCGTGGTCAGTTGTGAACATAGCCCATCTAGTGCAAGTCATTAACTTTTCTGTTCTTAAACAATCTAAATTGGACGCATGTGTAGGGTCATCGGCCATTTGGAAGATCTATTTCTGCCCAGGCTTCAACTTCCTGTCTAATATCTTAATATTTTTCTTCAATATTCACATAATCTTCTGTCCTCATGATGCCATCTGTTTTGTGACGTGCACCAGTCCCTCATATCGTATGAGCAGCAATATCATATGATAGGATGCTCATATCATCTGTGAATTCACAGATGGAATAGTGCAAATGCCCCCATGCCCCTCTCTTTCCTAGCCGTCACAAAAGGTCCTTATGTCCAAACATTAACGTCTCAGTTTCATCAGACCACAGAAGATGTCCTCAAGAACTGAGACTTTTGTCCCTGAGGGCTTTGGCAGACTATTATTTGGGTTTTTTTGGAGTAATGGGTTGTTGTTGACAGAGGACTTGTTGTAGTGTGGTTAATGACACTCGTAGAGTGAAGCCCAGTCGACGACATCGTCCTCTAGGCTTCCCCAAATAAATAGAGAGAAATTCTTGATATTTGCATGTGTAAGAAATGCATTGAAGTTATCTTCCGCTTGGTCAAAGTATGTATTATTATTATTTCAGTATTTGCTTTTTTCATATTTTCTGTGGAATAAAGTTTGAAAATATTTAAATGGCTCAGGAAGAGCAGAAAGAAAGGTATGTGTTACCTCACATAAATAGTAGCATTCAGTTAGTTAACCTGCACAGTAAATCCTCTTCAATCACATAAATTATGTGTTCAATCACATAAATACTGAATAATTTGATTATTATCTAAACAGTTACTCATCCTTTTTTTCTAACTAAAAACAATTTTAACAGCATTTTTGATTATTCCTTTAATATATCGTGAGTGTATTAATTATTTTGTTTGCTACTCAACTGTAGTGCTTTGTGACATTCATAGTTGTAGCATCATTTGGCGCTAATAGCTTGTTCTGCCACGAGGCAAAAGCCACAAACAAATAATGACGCCAAAGAAAAACGATAACACCAAATTTACTTGGTTTTATTTGATCTGAAATTCGAATTTCCGCTAAATATTCCCCTAAATCCGTCCTATTGGTGTAGATGTCAGCAAAGGGCTGTAAAAATCTGCATCTTAAATGCTAGGAGCAGACTTTGTAGAGTCTAGGTTAATTTGGCAATGGCTCCTGGTTATGTAATCCTGCAGTTCTGTTTTTTTTTTTTTTTTGTTTTTTTTTCTGTTCAAACTCTTAAAACCTTTCCAGTTAACACATGGAGGGTGTCAGTCAGCCTGGTGACGGCAGCAGTTTAAGGAGCACATGTGATAGGCAGAGTTCGGAGCCGAGTGCCTGTTAGAGTGTGCTCAACACCAAGTGACCCCTTAGGTGCAATTTATAGAAACAAGGTGCAGGCACTGACTGTACAGATAGATCTGCCAGCTCCTTGTGCTCATACCCCCTTTTCCACTGTCTGTACTGCTTTTCATCAAGGTCTCCACTTCTCTTCTTCGGGGATTTGCCGCCATAAAGCTGTCAGCAGCCTTTGGTGCTGTTCAACGTAGTGTGTTACTATTAAAACTTGAACAGGTTGTTGGTATTAAAGACATCACTCTGAATTGTCCACCCTGTTAGTTTTGCTTATCTGGGATTGGCTTGTGGAGGAAAGTGGTCAGTCAGACATCGCTCTCCATAGAAACACTCGCTTGGCTCAATTTAGGGACCGTAAATCCAAAGCTTTGCATTTTGGCTCTTCTCTATTATTGACCTTATTACTGCAGACGAAGCTCCTATCCATCTCTCCATTGCCTGCTTCATACTACTGTCACTCTCAAATGACACTTTGAGATACTTGAATTCATCTTCTTTGCATGTAATTCTTTGTAATCACCTTATTTAACAAGAATAGGTTTTTGTTCTCTTCCTCAGGGATGTGCTACAATTGTGGGACATAGTAATAACTAATTATGAGTCATAAAAAATATGCTTCATAAATAGGGGAAAAAAATCAATTGGAACTTTGTTCTCCCTTTTATTATCATATTGCTGCAGTGTATTAATGTGTCAATAGGAACACATTTGCTTTTATTGCTTCACAGATGACATTCAGGTTGAACGACGTATTAAATTTACTGGCAATATTCTGTCGTAACCTTTTATTATTACCAGGTAATAATAAAACCTGGATTAAGGTGAACTTTCTTAATGTTAAAAATAAGACATATCTCCACCTATCTTCTGCAACAATCATTCTCTTGTCATTATCTTCCTGTAAGATGGAGTATTATCTCTCTTTTGAAGATCTAGAAAGTGATCCGTTCTTTTTCATATCACATTTAGACACTTAGCAATCACCTTTATACTGGTTTACATCTTTTTTTCCTATCCCCATTCTTTATGTAAAAGTCCTCCACAACGCTACAGCTCTTCTGTTAACTATCACAAAAAAAGCAGGAACAAATACTGTCAAATAAATAAACAACATTTGCTTCTCGACAGATTAATTTCTCTCTTCTTTCGTTTTTTTTCTTCCCTGTTGCATGTTTCAGCGATCAAATGTATTGTAAGATCAGGAAAAGCTAACCAGAGAAAATACAGTTTTCAGATTTTATTTCATTTATTAGTGAATTAAATTTAATGCTGAATCCAAACTAATGGAAAAAAGTTAAGTGCCCCCTTAACCTCGCAACTGAATGTGCAACAACAACGGCCTTAAGGTGTTTGTGAAAACGGGAAATTAATCTTTTATATTACTATGGAGGAACTTAGCCCACTGGTCAGCCTCGCTGGATGGTTTTTGAGCATTAACAGCCTTTTTACGGTCATGCCAGCGCACCTTATTTGGTGAAAGTCTATAGATTGACTTGACCTCACCAAAAATCCAGTCTTATGTCTTTCTGAGCCATTCAGAGGTGAACTGAGGCAAGTCAGACCTGCAGTGGTTTAGATTCAAAAACCCACCAGATCAGAAGTTGTTTTTGGATATGTAAACTGTTGCTTTGACTGGTGAAGTTCAGGTGAGGGACTATTATTTTCTAGCCACTTTCTGACACTTTTTCACTGATTTGAATAGCAAATGTTCCGTTGCATTTCCCATTCTGAAGACTGGCCTAGGGACGGGCCTCTGTGTTGCTTCATGTCAATACGACACTGAAACAGGAAGTTGTGAGTTAATCATTAACATTTTTCTTGACACTCTTATCAACTTTAAAAAGTAAATATTGTCACCTTCCTAAAATAATGGTGTATTTTTTTTTTTTTTTTTGCCTAAAACTTGTTTTGGAAAGAAAGAAGGGGGGATTTTATTTT